ACTCTATTCGAACCCTAGGAGTTCTAGTTTTTATTTGCTTTCTATACTGGATTTCTGCATAATATGGTGTTTAAAGAAAGGGTCCTTGTTCCTGGAAAGAGTGAAAGATTGAATACATGCATCTAATTTTGCTCCCTACTCAACCATAAAAATTACAGTAGAGTTTTTTTTAATGTATAAAACTTCAAGAACAAGGAGAATAAGGAGAGAAAATTTCAACAAAATTTTAGAAGCAGAAAAGCACATGAACAAATTATAGTTAACTAAGCAGACATGAAAGAATAGAATCCCAAAGGGGCAGCGTGAAAAGCTGAGACCCAACCAGTTTTATCACAGAATCCTCCAAAGGTACAGTTATCAGTTGAATAAAGTACATTAATAACTAGTAGTTTAGGAGAAAGCATAAAATAAAGAGGATTTATTAGACATAGTTTAAAAAGAGAGCGTCGCTGTATTTGCTCTTTCTCTTATCTACCCCTGAGAAACTGCCCTCCACCAGTGCATGGAAGCTGTAGGACAAAACACCAGTTTCAACTGAAAGACTGAGATTTAAACTTAAAATAAGATGATTAAGTGACCTTAGTCATTCAGAATGCAGAGATTTCAATCTCTCTTAACTGATGTAAATAGTTAAGTAAACTAGAATATTGGCTGTGAGGGCCTAATCTCCAGGCAGGAAAATAAAAGACACTTTTCAGAGGAATCTAACAAGTCCAAGAGGAAAGATTCAAAAATAGGTACATTTTGAAATATTTCTCAGAAAATAACCCACCTAGATTAATTTATGGTGATGGTCAAATTAGATAAGCATTCTCCCTTATCCTGTTGTGAATATAGTTTCCAAGTCAGATTTTGCTTCCTCTTTCTCCATCATAAACAGGTTGCTAAGTATTAACAAACATCTCAAGAAAACCTCTAATCTGGAAGATAGAAATTCTAATCAGAAAACAGAAAAATGCAACTGGGAAGAAACAGATCTTGTTAACTACAATGGAACAGATAATGTTAGGAAGAAGAGAATGTCAAAAGATTACTATTAATCTCTTCAGTAATATAAGAAGATGTCAAAGCCTTAAAAAAAGAAATTTACAGAAGTTAAAACAGTTTTGCAGAAATTAGAAACTCAATACAATATTTGGAAGATAGAGATGACAGAAATGAGAAAAGAAAAGTAAAGATAAATTTAGACTCAAAGGTTCAGAAACTCCAATGTTAAAAGAAAAGGAACTGTATAGAGTGTATAGAGAATGCAGGAGGAAAAATCATCAAAGAAATAGTTCAGAAAGTTTTCCTCAAACTGAAAAACAGTAGTAGGTAAATTTAAAAATTCATCAAGAACCATGCACAATAGATGAAAATGGATTCATTCCTATGATTGGGATAGTTTAGAACACTAAAGACAAAGAGAAGATCATAAAAATTTAAGAACGAGTTAATAAAAAATCTCATACAAAGAATCAGGGATCTGAAAAACTTCAAGTTTTCCACAATAGGCTAGAAGTAAAAAAAAATAGACAAGAGTAGAATGTCTTCAAATGTATCTAGAAGTGATTTTCAACTCCTATACCCAGCAAAACTAACAATTATTTGTGATGGTAGAATGAAAGTATTTTCAGACATGAAATACCTCAAAAAATGGATATCTCAAGCACTCCTTCTCTAGAAGCCAACAAAATTAGAAAGTAAATCAAGAAGAGGAAGAACAGATATTAGAGACAACAGAAGACTGACCATGGTAGATAGACAAAGGGAATAATCAGAAAGTGAGAAGGGAGGAATCTTGCAAAAATAATTGTTCTACAGACATAGAGGTCACCCCTCAGTCTATTATTGGAGCGGTGTGACTCAAATTACAGATATGCTCAAGACTGTCATGACCAAAGTCCTTACTACCACTGTACTATCATAGAAACCTGAAGACAAATTTCTCAGATGAGGTTGGCCCATATTGCTATCCGTATTTTGCTTGCCTTGCTCACACACTGATGAAGTTCTTCTTGTATCCTTCATGCTCTTTTCTCTAAAGCAGCTGGGTACTCTTTTCTCTATATGAAAATATTCTGTGAAAATTTAAGCCTAAGAGTTGGAAATGAGCCCTAATAAGCCTATACTCAGAATACCTAGAACAGCCCACTCCTTCCAAACAATTTTTGTTTGACACTATAGTCGAATGCCATGATTCTATTGTACTCATGCACTGTATACACTCTTCTATATGATATATTTTATGATAAACAGATATTTAAAAG